ATTTGATATATATATATATATATATATATATATATATATATATGTATATAGGCTTTGGTCATTCTTAAATTAAGAAAGATACCCAATCAATTTGGTACGGTATGCATTATGGATCGACATGACAAAACCAGTAATCAACGAGTTAAAATGCAACTAAAACATCACTGTTTGGTTCAAAATTCGGTTTTTAATTACTTAACCAAAGACAAATTAATGCACCATACCGAATCGAAATAACTATGGCACAAACCGGGAAAACACGTGAGAGAAAAGAGAAGTTATGTCAACTCTTATTATTATCTCTTTGGAAGTTGCCTGGTATTGTAGAAATATCTCGTTTATTTTAAAAAACAAAAAAATCAAATATCGATGCAAGTTGGGGGGGTTGGGGCTGTGAATGCTCTGTGAAATAACAACCATAACTTTAGTAATGTGTAACTTTTAGCATTTGGCATTGGTCAGACCAAAAAAAATAAATAAAAGGATATTTAATTATTACGTCTTCTCACATATCTTATACAAAAATGTTCCTCTTCTCCGCCTCCTATAAGTATCACACTCCGACATTGCCCTTTTGATCTCCTTGTCTTCCCCAGAAACAGCGCCCTCCCTAAAGAATCACATTCGAAGTTCCGTACGAACATTCCCACACGTGTCTCCGCCGCCGCCGCCATATCAGGATCTTTGTCCGGTCGGAGAGAGAGATGAGAACCAGACGCGGCAAGCGCCCAGAGGTACGTTTTTTTCCCCTGAGGAATCCTCCGTAGAAATCTGGTTTTTTCAATGTTTCCTTGTCGGAGAAGCAAGGGTTTTTTTTTTTTCGCTATTGGAAGAAGACGATGATGAGGAACTTTTCTGTTGCTGTCTTTTTGGTGGAGGGCAGCCGTTTTGGCCGTCGATTGTGATGAAGAAATGGCTGAACATAAAGCCCAAAGTTTATGATTTTAGCGAAGACGAAGTCGATACCGAGACCGAGAGCGAGGACGATGGTACGTTCGTTCTTTGATGTTTTCTGGGTTTTGTTCAAGATTCTGCACAATCTCATCAATTAAACTCATGGGTTTCTTTCCTTTTTCATTTTCAATTTGAGATTTTATCAAATCTTGATTCTTTTTTTTTTTCCGTCCCTACGGTTTTTGTATGATCAGCATGCTCAGTCAAAGATGACCCGAACGTAGGCTGCGCCGTTGACGATGACCAACGCGGCGTCAGAGGAGACGAACCCGATCCCAATAGTCAAAACTCAGGCAACTATTCTTAATTTTTGTTTCTTCTATTTCAATTATTCAGAAACAAAACCCAGATTTTTATTTTTATTTTTTTTGTACTAATATTCCTTTTTTTTTACTTCAGAAAGTGACTCGAGGGGTTGTAAGCTGAGGCACCGGCGAGGCAAGTCGGAGACTTTACGCGTTCAGTACATAAACACAAAGGACATCAGGTTCTTTTTATGTCTCCCTCCTCCGTCTGAGGGTATTTTAGGGATTTCATCTTTTTCCGGCGACGAGTTTTCTGATTTGTGTGGTTTCTGCAGGGTGACGGTGGCGACATGGAACGTCGCCGGGAGACTGCCGTCCGACGATCTCGACATCGACGACTGGCTTTGTAGGGACGACCCTTCTGATGTTTACATCATCGGGTAAGACGGAAAACATCTGAACGCCCCTGCTTTTTGTGCTCTGTTTCTTGTTGGAACTCTTGCAGATTGATGTCGGAATTTTAACAGATTCCAGGAAGTGGTTCCGCTGAGTGCTGGAAACGTCCTGGGGGCAGAGGATAGAGGTCCGATTCCGAAATGGGAATCAATCATTCGCAGAACTCTGAACAAATCCCACCATAAATCGGATATCCAGTCTCCATGTAACAACATTCTTCTCAGATCTCAGAGCGCTCCTCTAACTCCTGATCTTATTCCAACAAATTCCCTCATCGCTGATGTTCTCGCCGATAATCTCGTGGCCGATCACTCGCTCGACCTCACCACCGAGGAGTTCATCGACACTTCCCCTCCCACTGCTGTGAGTGTCGAACCCACAGAAACTCTGGACTGGCCCGAACAGCCTCTTGATGAGAACCCTCAGATCATCGGGTCTGCAACCAAGCTGAAACGTGTCTGGAGCAGTAACGCGAGGCTAGGGTTTACTCTGCCAGAGAACTTGGGGACGGGAAGGATTCCTTCCAACGCAAGAAACATAAAACGGTCTCGCAGCTTTGAAACTCTCAGCTTTGGTTGTTGGGACCTGAAAGAAGAGGATGACGTGCCTGAGAAAGAAGAAGCTGCAGAAACTGTATCTGATGAGTCCGATGGAGAATCCTCAAGCAGATCAGACGACCAAACAGAGGAGGACACGTACGGAATGTCGGAAGATCAGTTCCACGAGTGTACGGACGGCAAGCGGCGGCAAAAATACGTACGGATCGTAAGCAAGCAGATGGTGGGGATATACGTATCGGTGTGGGTTCGCCGGCCAATGAGGAGACACATTAACAATCTGAGAGTTTCACCTGTCGGAGTTGGGTTAATGGGTTATATGGGAAACAAGGTAACCCTAACTTGCTTAACAAGTAATCAAAAAACAAACGAAATTCCTGACAATGTTTGCGTGGACAAAATATGCAGGGATCGGTATCGATCAGTATGTCGGTGTACCAATCTCGGATGTGTTTCGTGTGTTCTCACCTGACGTCGGGTCAGAAAGACGGAGCGGAGCAGAGGCGGAATGCTGACGCGTACGAGATCATCCGCCGTACACGGTTTGCTTCGGTTCTTGACACTGATCAACCAAGAACGATACACAGCCACGAGTAAGGGACTCCCACAACCCAGAAAACGTTTTTTAAATGATTATAAAGAGAAAAAAAAGGGTTATCACTTATATTTGATGTTTGATTTGCTGCTCGGTGAAATTTATGTGACAGCCAAATATTCTGGTTTGGGGATTTGAACTACCGTCTTAATATGTCAGACTCCGAGGTCAGGAAGCTTGTTTCTCAGCAACGATGGGGCGAGCTCATCAATGGCGACCAGGTTTCTTCCTTCGATATGTTTCATATCATCTCATATTCTAATTATAAAACCATTGTTTCTGAAAAAACTGATTTTACACGTTCGCAGTTGATCAGAGAACTAAGAACGGGGCACGTTTTCGACGGGTGGAAAGAGGGTCCGATAAAATTTCCGCCTACGTACAAGTACGAGTTCGAGTCGGATCGATACGCAGGGGAAAACCCTAAAGACGGGGAGAAGAGGAGAGCTCCTGCTTGGTATAAGATCAATCTCAAAAATCTTATAGTATATCTATACATATAAAACGAAAACAATACATAATAAATGAAAAATGGGCAGGTGCGACAGGATACTGTGGGTGGGGAAAAACATAGAACAGAAGTGCTACAAGAGATCGGAGAAAAGGCTGTCGGATCATAGACCGGTGAGTTCGGTGTTTGAGGTCAAAGTGGAAGTCTTCGATCATCGCAAACTCCAAAGGGCTCTCCACGTCAACAATGCCGCCGTCCATCCCTATCCCTTTCTATCTTCTTCCTAATACCCTTTTTTTGTTATAATTACCTCAAATTAATATCACTAATCTTTTTGTTTATTTTCTCTACTTGTATTGACTTATATATATATATATACACACATGTTTTGAATCTGACAACAAAAATGTAATTTACTCATTGTGAAGTCGGTATCGAGTTCTCACGGCCACTCCGACGCTCGTTTGTGCAAGAAGAAGAAACGACACCGGAGTTTTAACGAGTTCGGTTACCGAGTTTCCTCGGGCCTACATCTCGGCCGGACGGTACCAGCGAATCCATTAGAAGAACGAAGAAACAGCGGAGAAGAGAGAAACACGACGGCCGTCCACACCAAGGTTGGAGGCTCACCGAGAAACACAGAGAAACGCCACGAGAGACGGTACAAGACACTCACCGACACTTACCTCGCTCGCCTTTGGTGAGACGCCGCCGGTCTGGGCTTCGCCGTCGCCGGGAAGCACCTCCGCCTTTTCTCCCTCACGATCGCCTCTTCGATACGCGCCACACGAAACACTTTCGTCTTCACGCGTATTAGGGTTTCATTAAGCCTCGGGATGAAACGCTGCGTTTCAGGTTAAAACCCGAAACCTCCTTCCGAAAGGGAAGGTTCTATTTCTCCGCCAATGGGCCTTAGGGCCCAACAATCTCCACCTTGGTGGAGAAAGAGAACCGGAAATAAAAACAATAAACACTAGTGGAATTCGCCGTTTCCAGCACCGATCGACTTTCGTCGATCCGTCGACTTTCGTCGGAATTTAAAGCGTAACTTACCTGACTTACCTCACTTACCTGATGTCGGAGTTAGTCACATGTTGCTGCCTTTGAACTTGATGAAGCTCCCGTCGATGACTCCTCGTGGCCTCGTCGCCTTATCCCGCCACCGATCAGCTCATCTCTACCTGAAACACTCGGTAAACGTGTTAGAACATTCACCCTGATAAGACTCGAACCGTAGTCCTATCCCGCGTTGCCCGACCGGCGAACGCTACCCTCGGTTGTATGACTCTCTAGACCGTCTAACTAATCATCCTAGTAAAGTCCAAGACTATACCCGCTAGCTAACCGGAGGATTACACCCGACGTCTACCCGTCTCCTAAGTCTATCCCGACTTTCCCGAGACTAACCTGAGTCATACTACCTAAACCCGCTAGATACCTAGCCCGGATCCCCGTGAAGTCTATACTACCTATAGGTATACGACTTCTACCCTCGGACCCTAACCTGCCAACTAGAATTGTCCCACGGTTTTGTCCCGTGAAGACACTCCTAGTCATCTAAGATGCTCCACCGAGAATGAGACACGTGAGTGCACGTGCTCCACCTCGAGAGGGAGTGTCCTAGCGCCAACCTACACCGACTCTACCCGGTGACCCGACATCTCCCAGCTCACATCATCTCCTGAGCATCCTACCCGAGGAAGCTCCACCTAAATGTGGAGACCTCACCTCCTGATCTACCACCGAGAACCGAAGCATCTTCGGTTACTCCTCCGAGGTCAAAACGTCCTTCTACCTCGGACTCTCCCTACCTCATCATCCGGGATCTACAAATCCTCCATGTAGTATCCCTACCTACCCGCGGAACCACTCACTCCACCTGGTCCTTGGCCTACTCCTGCAACCCGATTTCTCGGGTTTGCCCGAGACCCCTAGTCCTTCCACCATACCCCTTTCGGGGTATACCGAGCTAGACAATCTAACTCCATCATCCTAAGACGATATAACAAGAGTCTAAAACTGACCCTACCCGGAAGAGACTTAACCGACCCTAGGAGTGATGTAACATGACACGAGGGATGAGACCGAACCCTAGAGGACTTAACCCTAGGTATATTTCTACCTAGCCGTGCTTAAACACGCTCCAACCCTAGTCTATCAGTCCTAGACTTAGGTACGCCTCTACCTAATCAGACCTACAAGACCTAGAGAACACGACCTGACCGGACTTAACCTAGGCACTCAACCTAAACCGATCTAGCGGACCTTAAACCAAGTCTAACCGGACAACACCCTAGGTACATCTTACCTAACCGGATCTAACACATTCTAGACCAGACCTGATTGGACTTAACACAAAGTATATTTCTACCTAACCGACCTCCTAGACTCTCGCACAAACTTGATTGGACTTACCCTAGGCATAATTTTGCCTAACCGACCTATTAGACTCGAAACACAGCCTACCTTAAGACCTGATTACGTCTAACCAGACCTAACTTAAGGCTACACAGACCTGATTACGTCTAATCAGACCTACAACACCGAGTCTACATGGCCCCCAACAAAGTCCTAACCAGTCCTACGATCCCGAGTCTACACGGTCCCTCACAAAGTCCTAATCAGACCTACCCAAGTGATACCTAGATCCTAACAGCCCTAGTTAGACAACCAAAAGTCCCGACTAGACCATCACACGACCCTAATCAGACCTAAGCCAACCCTAGTCGACCAACCCCTGATTAGATGACCCTAAGTCCTAGTCAATCACCTAAAAGTCCTAATCATCAAACCTAAGCCAACCCCTATTGACTTACCAACCCCTGATTAGACTTTTAGCGACCTAATCAGGCCTAAAATAAGCCTAATATGACCTAATTTACTTCTGATCAGATCCGATAAACGCCTAAAATCAATCCCTATAGACCTGTCCTGATCTGAACCGACCCCTACAGACCTATACCTAGTGATTCTAGACTTAACCAACCCCTAAACCAACCCGTTTTAGTCAAATCCCACATAATCAGACCTAACCGGTCAATGTACCGGACTCTATGACTCAAAACTGGTACTTAGGAGTCCTATCTAGTCCTAACCTAGATAATACCTAAGTCTACAATCAGATACTAATATGATCAAACCTAGACAATGTCTCTATAGACATTCTAACCTCTAATCAGACCTAACCAAGCCTATTTTGACTTAATTACCTACTGATCAGACCTAGACCAAGCTAGACTAACTCAAATTTGGCTTAACCAGACCTAACCAAGACCGAAACAGCACTTACAGACCTATATCAGACCTAGACAGTCTACTACAGACCTGTACCAGCCTA